GAGCACAGAGGCCAGGGTTTGACTCCCAGGGTACAATGAGACTGCGACTGACACTGGGTGTGGTGGCACACACCTGCAAACTCAGTACTCGGGAGGATGAAAAACAGGAGAATCACTACAAGTCCAATCTATGTAGTCACACCCTGTCGACCCTGCACTAAATATATAAAAAAGAGAAAAAAAGAATTGAAAGTATTTTCTATTGCTATTAAATTGTTATAGTATAATTTTAAGGAAATTTCATTCAAATTCATTCTAAGCACTATACCAAAATGTAGACATTTTATATTACATTTCTCAGATTACTTTATGCCTAAAGTAAAAACTGTTTGGATTATAGACTTTTCTGAGATGGGCATAGGGGCATGCCCCTATGATCCCAGCACTTGGGGGGCTAGGCATTCAATAGCCTAGGCTACAAAGTGAGCTCAAGGCCAGTCTGAACTGCATAGCAAGACTATGTCTCAGAAAGACAAAAAAAAAAAAAAAAAAAAAAAGAAAAGGAATTACCAGGTGGTGGTGGCATGCACCAGGTAAATCCCAACATTTAAAGGCTGAAGGAAGAGGATAGCGAGAGATGTAGGTCAGGTTATGCTACATAGTGAGTTCAAGGCCAGCCTGAACTACATAGCAAGATCCTGTCTCAAAAACCAAAACAACAAAGGAGAGGAATCAGGTAAGTGAAATCTTAACCAAGTGAGGCATAGTGAGTTACAAGGAAAGGATACATACCGGTACACTGGCATATGTATACTGGCATCTGAGCAACTACAGGCTTGGACTTATACTCTGAAACCCATACTTGTTTGATTGTTTGATTCTTTCTTTCTTTCTTTCTTTCTTTCTTTCTTTCTTTCTTTCTTTCTTTGAGACAGGGTCTTACTATATAGCCTAGGCTGACACTGAATTATATAATTCAAGACAGCCTTGGACTCACAGCAATCTTCCTTCCTTAGTCTTCTGAATGCCAGCATTACAGGTTTGCACCATCATGCCCAGCCTTCCTATTTGTAACTTTTTAAAATTATCCATGAGCTCCCTCAAGTACCTGTACCCTTCTTTACCCATTTTAAAATTTCTTATCCACCATTAATCCCTCCCTTTTACATACCTTTAACTTACTGGTCTCACGTATTATTTATTAACATGGTAAAACCCTAATCAAATAGTGCACTTATTCTGTGCCTATTCTCAAATAGCTACATGTTGGTGAAGACAATCATTTTAAGCAACCAAACAAGTCTTTAACATACTTCTTTACTAAATTTATGTTCCCAGCTCTTAACATTCTTTTTTTTTTTTTTAATTTTTTTTTTATTTTTTATTTATGCGTGTGTGTGTGTGTGTGTGTGTGTGTGTGTGTGTGTGTGTGGCCAGCTCAGCTCAGCCCACCAGGGGGCGGGGGCTGGCTGGCATGTGGTGCTGGGGGATTGAACCGCAGTCCCTGTGTTTTGCTAAGCTTGTTTTAAATAGGTGCTTTAGACCACTGAGCCATCTCACCAGCCCCTCTTAACATTCTTTTCCCCTCCACAGCCTATGGTAATCTCCCACTTAACCAAGATGAAACCAGAAGAAAATTATCTAATGCTAATTCCACTAACCTTCCTGTATCTGTAACTGCACAATCTTACTAAGAAAAAGGACAAAGATTCCAGTTTCCATAAAGTTAATCTCTCCACTTGGCACCCCACATCTCAAGCCTAGAAAGTTTTCTGAAGACTTCATTCCTGTATTTATATTTCTCTTACATACTATTACTTCATTCAGATGTCTGTCATTTCTTCTTAATTATTATTTTTCATCCTGTATCGTTTTTCTTCTTAGCTCCAATAGGTACTAGATACTGTACTTCATACTTTTGTGTTTCATGCTGGTCTCTTCTACTTCAGTGTCAGTCCAGTGAGTTCAGATTTGCACTTCTTAGGCAGTTTTCTGTATTTAGCATATGATATAGGGTCTTCTGGATACTAGGTGTCTAATGAACATTTGTGCCATACATATGAAATAAGCTTTAAGCTTCATTTGGCCAAGAGAACTACTGATTTCCAGTCCCAAAACACTTTCCATCTCAATAAAAGATACTTTGTTACGAAGGCGCCAAACCTTGCCTCCTTGGCTCATTTATAGTCTACCTGTTCATCCTGTCAACTGCTTTCAAAAATGAATCCCAAATTATGACTATTTTTCATCTTTTCCACTGCTACACTTCTATGACCATACTACCAAACTGACACCTGACTACTGTAGCAGTTAAATGGTCTCCATTCACAGGCACCACTGTGACACTGCTTTTTGTTATTGCTACAGTACTTGGGATCAAAATGAGGGACACTCTACCACTAAGAGGCATTTTAGCTCATCTTTCCTTTTTTTTTTTTTTTTTGAGGTACTGGGAATTGAACACAGGGCTTTCACATCAAGCTACATCCCCAGCTCTATTCTTATTGTGAGACAGGGTCTAAGTTACTAATAGCCCAGGCTGAGTTCAAACTCAAGACCCTAATACCTCTACTTTCCAAGTGCTAGGATTAGAGACATGTGCCACTACACCTGGCTCCAAAGTAACACTTCTAAGACAACTTAATCAAATAAGCCCTATAATCATTTGCAACAAAACCAATAACCCAATTTCTTGCTGTAGCCCGCCAAACTACTGAAATTATTTACATGTTTACTGTTCCTTTTTCCCCACTAAAAGTGGGGAAAACAGTACTAATCACATAATAATCTCTTATAAATATCTGTAAGCTAATCCAGTTTTTGACACTTCTGAGAATACAGGAATTCTTTCAAACAGAATTCCAATATTCATTCTAAAGAGATTGTTGAACATCTACATTTTGATTGGTTGAGAGAAGAAGAAAAAGCAAATAGGAATAAAATTAATTTACCTAAGTTAAACACTTGTTGACAGTTTCATTTTTAATGTAAACTAAAGATATCCTAGTCTCAAAACTTTGAGATAGTAGCACGTATTTTAAATCAAGTTGAGATAATGATACTAACACCTCTAATCCTTTGAATGATCCTTATTTTTTTTATTTGTTTTAATAGCAACAAAAAAGAATTAAACTAGTTGGAAATAAAAACTAAAACTAGATTATTTGCTTTTTAGATACCAACATATTGAGTTTATACAACAGATATTTGTTAGGTACAAGAAATGTAAAGCTGAATAACACATGGACAAAGCCAATGAAAAAACACACATGTAAATAATTGCAATGGGGCAATTTTACAGTTATTAGTTGTAACTGCTATGTATAGTGTTACTCTGGTTTAAAGGTGTTCATGTGTTGGAAATTTCCTCCTCAATGCAACAGCATGAGAGGCAGGATGTTAAGATAACAATAATGGGTTAATGCCATTATTATGGGTGTGGGTTCTTGCTAAATGGCTGAGTTAAACTCCTTTTCTCTCCTTTTTCCCTCTCCCTCTCTTATACATTGATTCTTTTTGTTCTTCCACATTCTACCATGGGATTATCAAGCAAAACAGGTCTTCACATATGCTCTTTCAATCTTGGACTTTCCATTTTCCAGAACTGTGGGTCAAGTACATTTTTCTTCACCATAAATTATCCAGTCTGTGAAATTCTATTACAGCAACATGAAATGGCCTAAGCCAAGTTCTATAGTACTACAGTGAAGGAAAAAATTAATACCATGAAGGCAAATGGGGGTAGTGTGCTGAGAGAAAATATCTGAATATGAATAGAAACAGCTTTCTACATAGAGAAAAGCACATAAGAGTATCTATAATAGGAAAAAAGAAATTCATGTAGTACCACAACAACAATGATTAACTGGATGTACCTTAAGAATTTTTTTTTTTTTTTTGGCTGGGTCAGAATGCCTTCAGGGCAGGTTTGGCTGGCTTGAGTTCCGGGGATCAAACCACAGCAACCTGAGCCTGACTGCTTTGTTGAAGCAGCCACTTAAATAACTGAGCTAAGGGGCAGGCCCCCTGGATGTACCTTAGACAATTATTTACAAGAGTAATACTACAAGGCTAGATTCAGACCAGATTTTTTTGTGCTGTATTGAGAAAGCAACTAAGAATTTGAAGCCAGACATGGACATGATTAGGTAAGTACTTCAGGGAAAAAAAATTATAGTCAACATGGAAAGGAAAGGTTGGGACATAGGGAAGTATCAGGTAAATAGCCAGTGAATTAGTAAAATAAATTGGAATGCCTATTTTTAAAATATATTCTAATTGTTAAATGTTTTTTCATCATATTCTGTAGGGACTTAAAGTTCAACATATCAGTACTCAATGAAAAATACCTGTTCCATATTATGCCTAAGATGTTTGATATTCAGATAGTGAGGTTAAGCTCAACAACCTAGGTTGTATGGTAATAACAATAAATTTCTCTTCTGGAGGGTTAACAACCTAAGTTTGCAGACCAAAATTAGAGAAAAAGGAGGGCTGCAAGGAAAGCCAATATTTTGGCCCTAGCCTTCCAAGGTCAATTAGGACTCAGGACATATGAGAATTTGTACTGTAACATCACATAACTCAGTAGTGTCCCAAATTTTCTGATCAAGGAGATTATGGGGACAAAGAGGAAAGTGATCGATGGTGTACAGTGTGCCTAAGGAGAGTCACATGGAGAGAAAACATTCTCTCAGGCTTTCACAGAGAGCACATTGGCCAAGCAATGGCCATGACTCATCCACACGGCTGACACTGACAAAGGATCTACAATCTGAGGTACAGAATCTCAGGATAAATCCTGAGGGGATTTTACTGACCTTATCAGACCCAAAAGCTACAACTCTTGTTGCATAGGTCTTGCTTTATCTTGGTCTTAACCATCCAGCAGAAAAGTATAAAAATGAAGTATAAGAAGTAAAGCCATGGTCGGGCCTGGTGAGATGGCTCAGTGGTCTAAAGCACCTACTTAGAACAAGCTCAGCAAAGCACAGGGACCGCAGTTCAATCCCCCAGCACCACATGCCAGCCAGCCCCGCCCCCCTGGTGGGCTGAGCTGGCCACACACACACACACACACACACACACACAAATAAATAAATAATTAAAAAAAAAAAAAAAAAGAAGAAGTAAAGCCATGGTGTTATGTTGAACCGTAGGGGACTCAGGTCAACAATTTCAGACATTGCCAGTGAAGCGGAAGACCCAATACTATTATGGACTACTGGACTCTTTTGGAATATTTTGCTGAGTTAACACACCTATAATATTCAAATAACAGAAATAAACAAAAAAAAAGGGGATACAGATGAATGTCCATTTTGTATCTGTGTATTCAAAATGGTTAGAATATATAGTTACATTCTCTTAACAAATAGAGGAATTTGTTCTAATAGTGTATGTAAATAGGACATCATTTCCACATCTCGTACAGCAGTTAACCACTAGGAAGAATGTATGCAATGTATTAATTATTGAAACTGTCCTACCAATTTGGTTTGAAAAAAATAAATAAAATAAAAATAAAAAAGATAAAAATGAAAAAAATAAATAAATTGGGTTAATGTGTGAAACACTAAAAATGGTTCCAGACATAAAATCTGGTCAATTATTTTGGCTGTTATCTTTACTACTATCATAATTCTAGTAAAAAGATACTACAGTTCAGAACCAACTCCTGGACACAAGAGTAGAAAGCCAGCATGATGATATATGGAAAGTATAATGGATTTGCAGCCGGAGCACCACTTGATGAAACGGTAATGAAACCACATAGCTCCCACTCTGAAATGCTTTAATGTAAATGCTTCCAAGCAAGGTCCTCTCAAAAACTCTATTTTAAATTAAAAAAAAAAAAAAAAACAAACAAAAAAAAAACCAACTCAATTTCAGGTATGGATTAGATGAGTATGTCTCCTATAATCTCAGAAATTATCTTGATGTGAAATTCTATATAGAGTTAGACTGAGTATAAATGACATTCTTCTGAGAATTCCTGAAGCCAAGGTTCAAGAGGAAAAAAAATTCAAGAGAAACATGTTGCTGTTCTTTTTTTAACACATAGATTTTCTCTATAAAACTAGCACTATTATAGAGCTCATTATATGCACAGCTGAGTGCTAGCACTGGAAAAAGACAACAAATAAGACAGATATAGTTCAAGAGTACTTAAGTAAGCAAGATAAATATCAATAACTAGATCAGGGGTTGCATAACCATGGCATGTGGATCAAAGTTGCTTTTTGCTGTAAATAAACATTATAGCAGTGTCCATTTTACACATTTCCTATGATTTTTAATACAGACTTGAATTTCTGTAATAAAACTGTGCGGCACACAAACCCAATACTATTTACTACTTAGATTTTCTAGAAAAATCTGTCAAAAAAAAAAAAAAAAGAAAGAAAGAAAGAGCCGGGGAGATGGCTCAGTAGAATAAGCACTGCCTGGCAAGTGCAAGGGACTGAGTTCAATCCCCTGTTCTATAAAAACAAACAAAAAAAAAAAAGTCTGTCAACTTCTAAAATAGACTACTAAATATAAATGTGGTATGTGTGACAAAGAACCTCATCATCAGGAATGAAACCTCTTAAAAAAGTGAAGGATGAACAGGCTAAAAGCTGAGCCGCAAAGGTAAGGCTAGAAGGAACAGCATTATGTGAAAGAGCATAGTGCCATATAACAACTGCGAGTATATCAGTGTGGCTGGAGTATAAGGCGAAATTAGGGAGAGTTGTGACAAGAGATCAGAAAAGCAGCCCAGATGAGAAAATGCAAAGTCTTATAGAGCACAACCCAATTTTCTTTTAAATTTCAGTTTAGTTTATTCATACATGTGTGTAGTACATAATGTTTCTATTCTTTGGCTGGAGTTGCAACATGTACATAACACATCAAAATCCATTTTTTCATCCCCTATTGCACTCCTACCCCCATATCTCTCTTTTTTGAATGGTATAAGGAATTGAACTCAGGACCTTATACTTGTTAGGCAGGTGCTGTACCACTGAACTAAATAAATCCCCAAACCCTCCATCTCTTAGTCCCTTTTCCCTTTAAGAAAGATATATTTCCTTACTTCCTGTTGTCTTATTGTTTTGATCTTTATTTTTACTATGGGTTTTTCAGATAAGACACACCAAGTGATAGTTAAACTTATGTGTCTGATATTTCACTCAACTTTATGGTCTCAAAATATATCTATTTTCCTACAAATGACTAGTTTATCTTGCTTTATGACAGAGTAGAACTCTAGTTAATGTATAAATATCACATTTTTTTATCCATTCATCTGTTATGGACATATGGGCCATTTCCAAGATTTAGCTATTATGAACTGTGCTGCTATAAACACATATATGCATGTATCACTGTAATGGGATGTCTTTAACTCTTTTGGGAAGAAACCTAGATGGGAGTAGCTGTGTCAAATGGAATATTTTGTTTCAATTTTATGAGGAATCTCCGTGCTGATTTCCATAGTGACTGTGCTAGTTCACATGATCACCAACAGTGTAAAAGAATTTTCTTCCTTGCAGCCTCTCTAATATTTGTTATTATTCAATTTTTTTATGATGGTCATTCTTTCCATAACCCAGATTTTCTATATTTATCCTTATGATAAGAAAATATCAAAGACAGATGCAGGAGTAACATGAATAGAGCTACACTTTTAAAGTATTACTCTCTTTTGTGGCAAATAGAGAGTAGATGAGCAACAGTTGATTTAAGTAAGACTAGTTAGGAGGCAACAATGGATTTAAAAAAGGGGATGTGAGCTGTGACTATATGGATACAACAAAGAAATTTAAAAGATATGTAAGAAACTGAATTGGCAGAACTTTGTAGATGAATAAGTAGGGAAAGCTGAAGGAAAACCAACTGACAACAGTCTCTAATAAAATGGTATAGACACTGTGGGCAGGGTACACAGAGGAAGAGCAGGATGGAGAATGGGGTATATGGAAGGATAAAATTAGCTCATTTTGACCATAAAGTATACGAAAACAAGATGAAGATGTTCACTAAGAATTGATACACATGCCTATTGTTCAACAGGTAAAAGAATCATGGATTCCAGCTATTAAATGGTCTCAAAATAAGGTCCCTGGATAAGGTCTTAAATCACTTGTTATATTAATCTTGTATCCAGATTAATTTCTAATGGTTTCAAAAGAAAAAGTTATTTTTTGCAATCTTAACCTAAAACATTAACTTACTTGTATTTTTGAGTTATCACAGACTCAAGACTGTGTATGACAATCTCAAAAGCATAAAAAATGAAACCCGTGTGAAAGAAAATTCCTAAAACTTACTTTTCAAGCTCTTCCTGAGAATGGGCAAAGGTACAATTTGTTCCTCGTGGACAACCCCCTTGCTGTCGCAAATCTCGGCACATGCTAGTCTTGTATTTGCTGTTTGGCTGAGGCTACAAAAAGGAAAACATTCAATATGTGGGAAAAAGATTTCTATTATTATTCACTCCTGGAAGTTCCAACCTTAATGATTACATCTGCAATTCTTTTTTTTTTTTTTTCCTGGCAGAAACCAGGATTGAACTCAGGCCCTTGTGCTTGCCAGACAAGTGCTTATTCTACTGAGCTATCTCCCAGGCCTTGTATCTGCAATTCTTATTCTGAAACAATTACCATTCCATTGTTTTCTGTTATGTGCCATGGAGCACAATTCCAAGACAACATTTTATATTCTTTCTAGAGAGTATCTGAAACTGGTTCAAACTTTACATCTATTTATTTGTCAGGCAAAACAATGCCCAAGAAAAAAAGCTAAGAACTATTTTCATGCTAATTCATTACTATCTTAAAATTGTATCACAGGGCTGGTGAGATGGCTCAGTGGTCTAAAGCACCTACTTAGAACAAGCTTAGCAATGCACATGGACCACGGTTCAATCCCCCAGCACCACAAGCCAGCCAGCCCCGCCCCCAGGCGGGCTAAGCTGGCCACACACAATAAATAAATAAATAAATAAATAAATAAATAAATAAACAAACACTATTAGTACACCTCTTTCTTCTCATTGAATTAAGTGAAAGTGGCTGTAAATTTATCCTATTTTGTATATATAAATATAAATTGATCTTTCCTTTGTACCCCCCTTTTTTTGTTTAGTCCTATCAGAGGTGGGTATTCTATTGGCATCTAAATACTATAGGTGTTTGAATTCAGCTAAACAATTCAACACTGTCTAGCAGTCTATAATATTAGTGGGTTATCCTCGTTATTGACTTAAGCCTTTTACAGATCATCGTATTAATATGGCTTTATTTATTTATTTTTGGCTTTACTTTATATACCTCATTTTTATACTTTTCTCCTGGATGGTTAAGACCAAGATAAAGGGGCTGGTGAGATGGCTCAGTGGTCTAAAGCACCTACTTAGAACAAGCTTAGCAAAGCACAAAGCACAGGGACCTCGATTCAATCCCCCAGCACCACATGCCAGCCAGCCCCGCCCCCTGGTGGGCTGAGCTGGCCACACACACACAATAAATAAATGTAATAAATAAAAATAAATAAATATAAAAAAAAAAAGTGAAAAATTACTAATTCACCCTGGCAAGTGTGAGGTCCTGAGTTTATTATTTATGTGACTCTAATAAAATAAAAACATTTAGTTCACATCTGAGTATTATAAAGTCCAATGGATAACACTGAAAAGATAATAGACTCTGTAGATTTACTCCCAATTCTGTTACTGACAGCATAATCTTATTATTTTTTTTTTTAATTGTATTTGGGGCTGGGGGCCAGCTCAGCCCACCAGGGGGCGAGGCTGGCTGGCATGTGGTGCTGGGGGACTGAACAGCGGTCCCTGTGCTTTGCTAAGCTTGTTCTAAGTAGGTGCTTTAGACCACTGAGCCATCTCACCAGCCCTGACAGCATAATCTTAGATGTTACTTTACCTCTTTAAATTTTGACTTGTAAATAACAACTACCTTGAAGACAGGTGTCGGGATTAGAAATAAGTTATGTAAAGTCTTACTACACAGATGGGACTCATAGTAATCCTTCTGTTTTCAACATCCCAAGTGCTGGGATTACAGGTGCACACCACCACGCCCTATCTCAGAGCACCCGGGGGGTGGAGGGAGAGGGAGGGCAACACATGACCCATAATAATTTAGTAAATGGAAGTTATTATTAGAATCAAGGATTTAACTTTCTTTTTTTTTGCAGAACCAGGGATTGAACTCAGGCCCTTGCACTTGCCAGGGAAACACTTATTCAACTGAGCCATCTCCGCGGCCCCTAGGATTTAACTTCTTGAGAAGAATGAAAATTTGAATTCCACAATTTTTTTTTCCCTTCGGCGGAACCAGAGACTGAACTCAGGCCTTACTGAGCTATCTCCCTGGCCCAATTTCATACATACTGCAAATAAAATTTATTTGGGAGATAATAAAAGAGGTAAAAGTGACAACTTCCCACTGAAGAACTGAATAAAATATCTGAAAGGAATCAATACTTATCAAAACGATTTTAAGGGGGCTGGTGGGATGGCTCAGTGGTCTAAAGCACCTACTTAGAACAAGCTTACCAAAGCAAAGGGACCGTGGTTCAATCCCCCAGCACCACATGCCAGCTAGCCCCACCCCCTGGTGGGCTGAGCTGGCCACACACACAAATAAATAAAATTTTAAAAATATATATAGAAATGACTACATTATAAAAAAAGATTTTAAAATTTAGAGAACTCATATCTAGGATATTCTCTAAATGTTTATCAGCAACCTACACTAAAAACTGATTTTCTTTGAAAACAATAGAGATAATAAAACTTCTGAGAGGGATGGGGGCATAGTTCAGTGGAAAAGTGCTTGCCTCGCATGTGCAAGGCACTGATTTCTTTTTTTTTTTTTTTTTAATTTTATTTGTGTGTGTGTGTGTGTGTGTGTGTGTGTGTGTGTGGCCAGCTCAGCCCACCAGGGGGCGGGCTGGCTGGCATGTGGTGCTGGGGGATTGAACCGCGGTCCCTGTGTTTTGCTAAGCTTGTTCTAAGTAGGTGCTTTAGACCACTGAGCCATCTCTCCAGCCCCAAGGCACTGATTTCAATCCCTAGCATCACACAAAACCAAAGCAAAACTAAACCGACCAAGCTTATGAGACAAAAGAGTCACATAAAGACTCTATTAACTAAATGGGTTAAGATGTACAGGATATTAAACTGTTAAAGAAATAACAGCAGTCAGAAGTGCAACAAATTAGGGGCCGGGAGATGGCTCAGTAGAATAAGTGCTTCCCTGGCAAGCGCAAGGGTCTGAGTTCAATCCCCAGCTCCACCAAAAAAGAAAAGAAAAGAAAACAAAAAAAAAGTAGTGCAATGAATGTACATACCTGAGGTGTCTCATGGCCTTTTCTACTATAATTCTGTATGAAGTCCACAAGGCCATGAACTACTGTTTTAACAGCTACCATTGCATTCTCTAGCTGCTCCCATGTTGGTGAAACAGCATCTAAAATAAATGTCAAGGGGATGGAGTAAAAGGAAAAAGATGTTACCAGTAAATTTTTGTGGTACTTACCTCCTAGGCAGACAAAGTACAAGCATGTAAGCAATTCCCAACATACCTGGATTAGGGTCTATGTTTGCAAGAAGCTCTAAATGTGGTCTCAGTCTATTTAAGTTAGCTGGGTCACCTGTTCGTTGCAAAACAATTGTCAATTCCTGGACACTCTTTGCAAATGATTCTGGAGATTGCAGCTGACAAACAAAAAAGAAAATGTTTTTATTCTGGTTCTAATGAAACACATTTATTCAAATGTTTTCAAAAGACTAGCTATGTAATTGGTTTTCAAGTGTCTTCAGATTCCACAGAACATCAGTGATGAACTGAACTGTCACCTCAGAATCTGCCCTATGAAACTCATCATTAGACACTTAGAAAACATTTGTAACCTGTATTTACTCTCCGGGATTGGAATATACATAAAATTGGAGACTGTAAGCCTAACTGCTTTTATGGTAATATATTTGATTCCCTGTTATATCCCTTAATTTTGAAAATTAAAAAGTATTAATTTTTAAAAAGCCTGTATAGGCTGCAAGACAGCTTAACAGACTAAGCACCTGCTGAGGCAAGCACAGGGACTGATGTTCCATCTCCAGTACCAAATACTGTGCTGAAATGGTGACGGAGTCTGTGCGTGGTGGCGCACATATGTAATCCCAGTGCTGGGGAGGCCAGGCATAGTGGTGCACCCCTGTAATCTCAGCACTTCAGAGGCTAAGGCAGGAGAATCACTGTGAGTTCAAGGCCAGCTTGGATTACACAGTGAGTTTAAGACCAGCCTCAACTACATTTTAAGACCCTGTCACAAAAAAAAAGTAGTAAGAAACAAAGGCGAACTGAAATAGTCCCAAGGGGCTGGGGATACAGCTCAGAGGCATAAGTAACTGCCTGGCAAGAGCAAGGTCCTGAGTTTGATCCCTGGTACAGCAAAACAAAAGAAAATAGAAAAGAAAAGAAGAGAAAAGAAAAGGTCCCATTTTAAAACATGAAATCTCCAACTGTCTCTTTAGTTCTTTTTTTTTGTGGTACTGGAGATTGAACTCAGGACCTTTTGCTTGCCAGGCTACTCTACTGTGCTATCTCCCTGGCCCTTTAGTTCTTTAAAACATAAGAGAATCCTTGACTTACAATGGTTTGATTTAGGATTTTTTTTGATCCTTACAACAGTGGAAAACAATATATACTCAGTAGAAATAGTATTTCATAGTTCTAATTTGGTATTTTCCCAAAGCAGTAATATGCAGTATGTTTTTGTTTTTTGTTTTTTTTTGTCTTTTTTGAGACAGGATCTTGCTATGCAGTTCAGGCTGGCCTTGAACTCACTCTATAGCCCAGGTGATCTCGAACTCACAACAATGCTCTTACCTCAGCCTCCCCAGTGCTAGGATTATAAGGGTGCGCTACCACACCTGACCTGCAGGATGATACTCTTAAAATGCTAGGCACTGGCACTGAGCTATAGCTCTTACGTGAATCATGAGGGTAAACAATCAACATGCTATAGTAGATAATGTTGCTAAGTTACAGAGTTTGGTAGGTTAAAAATATTAAATATATTTCAATATAGATGAGTTTATCAGGATTTAGGTAGAAAAACATCTTTATTCCAATACTTTTCAACGTAACAGCAATAGTATAAAATCAGTATCTAGAAGGACAAGGATATAGCTCAGTGGCACAAGCACCTGCCTTGCAAGCACATGGTCCCGAGTTCATCCTGGTAACAAATAAATTAACTACATAAATAAAATCAGTATCTCTAATTTCACAAACCTTATCAATGATAGACTGCATGTGTGATTTATGAGCCAGATCACCATATAAGAGTGAAGACCACTGCTCAGGTGAAATGCGGAGTCCTGCTTCCATAGCAATATGAACAATCTGGGCATCGTGTTCTCTGCGTAATGCCTCGTAACTCCGAAATTCCTCCTTTAGCTGCATCAGAGAAGAGTCTTCATCCCTTTTGGTAACCTAAAAAATTAAAAATGAAAAAAAAATTCTGAGAAATGATTTATACTTTTTTCTCCTAAACCAATTCATTTATTTTTTGAGGAGAAATAAGAGGGATAAATAATGTCTAAATCACAAATTCTTCTTGGAATAAAACAGAACTTACATAAATAAACAACATAGTCCTTGTCATCAATCAGTTCAGCAACTGGTAAAGAAAAGATTAGTAAACAGAAAATTATAGTAAGAGTGCAATTATAAGGCTCTATAGCAACAAAGAGGAAAGGCAATTAAATCTGAATGGCAAAGAGAGAAATCTTAGAAAAGGGTTCTCCTAGCTGAGTATTTACATGAACTGTATCAACATGAACTACAGTAAGAAACAGAATTCTATAAAGAGTAGAAAGCTGTAAAATAAAGACATGAAAAAGGAGAGGACATAATTAAAGGGTAAGATATAAACCATGTAAGAGTCACAGAAGATCTTATATACTACATATTACAGTAAGAAATACCCTGATGAGGAGAAGCCATTGAGGACTTTTAAGCAGAGGAGTAATATAATCAGATTTACATTTTAGTAAACACCACTTTGGTAGCAGTGGAGGCTTGATTAAGATATAAAACCAAGAACTCCTGTCAGAGCAAAGCCCTAGGTTTCACCTCTAGCATTACAAAAAAAAGAAAGAAAGAAAAGAAATACAAGGAAAGTGAATCAATAGGTAGATATATATATTAGCACTATCACATAATAATTAAGAATTTTCTGCCACCACAGAAATTATCATCACCTTTAAACTCTACTGGGCTTACTTATACAAATTCAAAAGTTATACAAGTTATTCCACAGTCATATAAAATGAACTAGTGAAGTTTTCTAGTAATCCAAACATGGAAGTATATGGATATATGATTTTCACAAACGAATGATATACGCTTATTCCTGAACCACTAACACTTGCCAATGACTAGTGATAACTGAAAGTTTGTTATGATTTAGAACACATAAAACTAGTCCAAGTTCTAAAACTGAGATTGTACAAATCAGGTAAAGTATTCAAAACTTAGTTTTCCTCATTAGTAAAGGAAAATAACAACAGACCTCTTCATCAATTGCTTTTATTGCTGTTGCTAGTATATCACACAACAGTAACATGCCTCCAAGAACATGAATATGGGAGAAATCAAGCAACCATTTGAGAATTAGAGTTCACAACTGACCTTGAGAATCTATAAATACATTAGAGAACAGTTTGGGACCCTCAAAATACTTGATCAATAAAATTGTAGATATTTAAGAAAGAATAGAAGATATCTCAGTGCGTGCCTACAATTTCAGCACTCTGGAAGGCTGAAGCAGGAGGATCACAAGTTAGAACCAAGACTGGGCAATATGATGATTTCACAAGACATGTCTTAAAACACAAAAAGGTTGGGGATAAAGCTCAGCACAAAGGTACTGGGTACTGAGAAAAAAGGGCACGAAGAGTAGAGTATGAGTAATCACCTATATTCTATCATAACCTACTTAAACACAAAAAGCAAAATAAGTATCAACCAAAATAGTAGAAAAAACCAAAACCACTTAAGTAGTAGCACTCAGCAACAGACAGGGTACCCTGAACAGCATAACAATTGAAGTAACAAAGGACACAGGTGACTTAACAAAGTCCATCCTATTAAAAACAATGTGCATCAAAACCATCTGTGAAGTTTTGAAAGATACACTCTTAGGTCCACTGAATCAGAACCCTCAAAGATAACTAAAAAGTACATATGAACATTCAAGTACCACTTCAGATGAGCTCAGTCAGAATCTCTAGAGTCCTGTGTATTTTTAAAAGCTCCATAGATGATTCTGATATGTATCTTCAGTTGAGAACTACTGCACTAAAAACGAGAATCAGAACTTCCCCTTGTGCTGATTCCACACTTACATTTGATATGCTTTACAGGACAATATCTGTAAGAATTCAAAGCATTAAAAAATTGTTTGTCTCAGGGGTGTAGCTCAGTGAGAGAGTACTTGCTGAACAAACATCTCTAGTTCCAGGACATAGGAATCACATTTCTCATTATGAATTAATAAAGCCAATAATCTCATTACAAATTAATAAAACTAATAATCTTTTGTGTGTTATCTTGGTTAGGAAGATACTGATCTGGAACAAAGAATCTACTATACGTGTTTGTCTGGTTTTTTTTAATGTATTTAGTACAGGGTTTACATGGTTTCACTACACAGATCAGACTCTTAGCGATCCTCCTGTCTTCAGCCTCCCAAGTGCTGGGATTACAGGTGCTCATCACCAGGTCCAGTGACACTTGCCATCTCAACAGGGCTTGGGGGCGGGGCTGGCACAGCATTCCTGGGATTGAACCCTGGTCCCTGTGCCTGCCTAAGCAGGCACTTTAGTCCACTGAGCTATCTGGCTGGCCTTTTTCTCTCTCTTTTTTTTCCTTTGGCTAGCTTTCCACTGCTAGTACACAATACCTGACACTTGAAATTTCAAGGAAGAGAGGTTTAATTTAGCTCACTGTGTCAGGGGATTCAGTCCATGACCAATAGCCTCAAAGGCATAATTACAATAGCAGAAAGATGTGGCAGACCAAAAATGCTTAGCTGAAGCAGGAAAGGGCAACAGTGCCAAAAAGGAGGAGCAAGGGACCAGATATTGTACCCATGGTCAAACACTACTGTGATTCAACCATGAACACCCAGAAGTATGCTGTACCAATACCCCTGGTATCTCAAATCAAATTGACACAATTAAGTCAATCAAATTGATACAAGATTAGTCTACACATTATAAACCCACAAAATTCACATCTCTAAACTGATAAAGATGAGCAAAAGACCTTGAACAGTGGTGAGTTTGCTAAAAATCACCCCAATGAAGTCCTCTGGCAGTTAAATCAGCATGATATTATTTTACTCATCCAAATAGTGCTTTAACATTTTGAAGTATTCAGCAGGGTGCATCAAATAAGAATACAAAACTGAAGTAACTTTCTAAATCAGTGTAATTCAAACGTCAAATCAGTACCAGGTATAGTAGTACAACAATCATAAACCACAAGTTAGTACGAAACCTATTAAAAAAAAAAAAAACCACACACAGTATCAGTGGTGCATAGTGTGAAAACATAGTTATTTCAGAATGACAAACTATCTGTGTAATTTTAATGCTCAGCTAAAAGCACAGTGTTTGAGGAATCAGAGGTTCATTTCAACTGTTGCCTCCCTAAAGACATGAAATCAAACACTCAGAATATCAAGCAGATAATACACAAGCCTCTTTTTTTTTTTTTTGGCGGAACCAGGGATTGGACTCAGGCTGTTGCGCTTGCCAGGGAAGCGCTTATTGTACTGAGCTGTCTCCCAGGGCCCCACAAGCCTCATTAAGTACAATTAAATGAATCCACCTGATCACATTTGCATCATCAATTACCTGTTATCGAAAAGTGAGCAATCTGAAAATGAAGTTTTGTTCTTTTGGTTTGTATTATTTTTACTTTTAGGGCTTTAAAATAAGCAAGAGAGCCTAAATAGTCGCTGGTTTCAAATGTACATGTTTTACTTTCACAGAAGCTTCTATTTCCAAATCCTTGCGTCTTGCTCAAGAATTAGCTGATAGCCTACATTCTTATGTAGAAGCTTAAAATGATTCAACATGCTTCCTACTTCTTACTATTCACTACCCCCTGGCCTACTAGATAATGACACTATGCTTTAAAACATCGTATTTTTCCCCCAAACAACAATATAAACAAAAAAATCCTACATAGAATGCCAAGTGGGTTAATCGCTTAAAATTTCACTTTCTTGTCATCTCTAAAATACACAGGCCACTTTTAGGTTAAAGGCTTTAATCACTACAGACAGTGAGATAAAAAATGGGCTACAGAGTTGACCAAATCTAATGGCATACAATATGATCTCTGAGATCTTCTCCTCATTCCCATTTTTTGGGGGGAGGGGTACTGGAGAGTGAACCCAGGGTCTCTGCACACACTGCTAGCTCATTTTTTTTACTCAAGACAAAACTGTAAGTTACCCAGGCTGGAAATGAACTTGCAATCTTCACGTCTTAGATTCCCAGAGTGCTGGGATTCCACATGTGTGCCATCATAATCTGGCTCTGATTCTGTTTCAAGATGATAAATGTAAATACATAAGGTTTCTTTAGTCCACTTTCACTATCCAATTTGATAATTTTTTCTATTGAGTCCAAAGTTTATCAAACTATTTCCTTACATTCAGTGCCTCACATATAGGCATGTAACCTTTAGACAGCTGTTTAATGTTTACCTTAAAACACGAAGCTCGATACAGTAGTTGCACAACATGACCAATACTTGTTTTTGATGCCTGAGGAAATCTTGGTTCTAGTCTTTGCACAACAAAAAGTACCAGAACTTTCCGTGAGAGAGCAGAACCATCTTCTAAAGCCAGCAACACGAGCTTCAAGGCCTCTTCTTGCATAGCTAGAAATATTAAGGTATACGAGCTCATTATCCTGCAGATTGTGTCTGTCAAAGGGATCTTTGGGTATTAAGCTTGTGAGAGTTCATTACCCACAATCTGTACTTAATAAGCAAAAGAAGAGAATACAGCTTGTAAAATACAGTTATTTAAGAACTAATGAAGCAGAAGAAAATATACTTCCTAAATAACTGAAAAACAATACAAGTTAATAATAAAGTATCTTTTGTAGGTAAACAATAAATAATAAATTGAGGTGAAATAATAACTCACAGAATACATAGAATTGCACTGACAATAATATGCAGCAAGGGATAGAGTAGGCTATGCATAAGATTGTAACTCTGAACTGGGTGTGGTGGTGCAGGCCTGTAATCCCAGCACTGGGGAGGCTGAGGCAGAAGGATCACTATAAATTCAAGGCCAGCCTGGGTCACACAGTGAGTCCAGGCCAGCCTGAACTACAAAAGTGAGAATCTGTCTCAAAAAAAAAGAAAAAAAAACAAAAAAAAAAGATTACTACTTTACCTTCAGAAACTATTTTATGCAAAACTTTAAAATTTTTTATTTGTTTTTCAGGGCTAGGGAATGGACTGCAGAACCCCATGCAAAAAGGAAAGCACTAAAATACACCTCAGCCTGCATTTTATACATAATTTTAAAACTACATGAGCCTCTGGATGCAATACCTATAGATGCAATGCCTCAAATATCTAATGTTATAATAACATATTCTGAATCAACTCATGATAGAACATTAGGAAAATCTAAATTAAGAAATAGTCTATGAAATAAGTGGAATATTAATCAATAACATCAATGCTATGGAAGACAAAGGAAGGCTGAAAACGGTTTTAATACAAAATGGTTTCAGAGAGCCAGCCAAATAGCTCAGTGGATTAAAGCTCCTATAAGCAGGCACCGGGGCCAGGGGTTCAATCCTCAGGCCTACTGTGCCAGCCCCGCCACCAGTGTGCTGAGATGGCAACTGAGACTGAGTGTGGTGGTACATGCTTGTAATCCCAGCACTTGGGAGGCTGTAAACAGGAGAATCACT